CATTTTTTAAATTTAAAATTAGAGTTTTCTTACATATGCATATATTTGGATGATCATTTAAATATATTGCATGACTTTTTAACACTTTAAATCTTCCAACAATTTCCAAAGCATTCGAGTTTTTTTCTACTCGTTCTCACTAGTTTTTTCTAACTTCTTTCATTTTCATCCAACATCTAACTCTGAAAGTCTAACCTAAAAAATGTTACTTTAGTCCTAGTTTCTTGAAGGATAAAGCTATTTGTACCCGAAGCTTTTGTACCCCATGCCACTTTGTACACCGCAATTTTTCACCAACATTTTGTGATGGTGTAAAACTAATTTTTGTTAACGCACCAACGCTTTGTGTCTGTGTAAATTTTTCTTAATGCACCAACATTTGTGTCGGTGTAAACTATCAAAATATTTGTGTATAACTGCGGTGCATAAATGGGGTACAATTTTTGGTTTAAGTGTAGCATGGTCCTTTTTTTTTGGAAGGTTTAAGTTTCCAACTTGCACAAATTGGCATCTCTATTATGTATCGGATGGGTGATGGGTCCATACACTTTCATCAATCACATGCATTGCTCTCTAGGGTTTTCCGTGCTCACTAACTATGCACCCAAAACCAAAGGCCACTCACTGCATACTGTTCTATATAAGCTAATAAGCATCTCCTCAACTTCTTGATCTTCATCATCATATATCATCACTAGCTGCCATATCTCATTATCATGGAGACCTCAAAGTTGTCATCAACACCCCTTCTCCTCCTCTCCATGCTCTTCATTTCCTCTTTCACCACTCCTATTTCCGGCTGCGGTGGCTGCAGCGGCGGCGGCCAGAGGCCGCCAACTCATCATCACAAGCCCCCGAGCCACGGGAAACCCGGACTCAAACCTCCGGGCATATTGCCACCCATCATCACCAAGCCTCCAGGGATAGGAGGAGGAGTAGGAGGAATTGTCCCCCCGGTCACCCTCCCGCCCGTGACGACCCTCCCACCGGTGGTGACTCCGATCACCAACCCGCCCTACTCGGGGGCGGGAAAACCGTGCCCAACCCCACCGGCAGCCACGTGCCCCATCGACGCCCTGAAGCTCGGGGGGTGCGTGGACATCTTGGGGGGGTTGATCCACATCGGGCTGGGAGACCCGGCGGTGAACGAGTGCTGCCCCGTCCTCAACGGGCTTCTGGAGCTGGAGGCGGCGGCGTGCCTCTGCACAACCCTAAAGATAAAGGCACTCAACCTCAACATATACGTCCCACTCGCCCTTCAGCTCCTCGTCACCTGCGGCAAGACTCCTCCACCCGGTTACACTTGCTCCCTTTAAACCCCCATCCCAAAAGGTTAATACTCCGTAGTAATAATTTAAACGTTTTATTTTCCAGTAAATTTCTTTTTAAAGAGTGGTAAAATTTTCCTGCGAGTAGTTTTTCGATGCAATCTCGTGACTTGTTAGCTATCTGTATGTGGGCGCCTACACATCTTGTTTTTTACTCCCTTCTCTATTATAAAGGCCAAATGACACAAACAAAATTTGACCCA